GTTTAATGGTCGATTTACTTGTTGTTGTCGATGTGCCTGTGAACAACAAGAGCCTACTGTATATAGGGAGTGACTTTTACGCATGCGCATCAACGAAAATATTCTCGGAGCGCTAAGTGGCAGTTTATTGTGAAAAACAAAGGCAGTGGACAGCAGAACAAGAAACGTCATTTTCGGATTGCTCCTCCTTTTATGAAGATTCTGACAAAGGAGTGGCCTTTTTTCATATTAAACTTTTTACAATCCATTGTCATTGTATGATTGAGGATTTCTAGACGCTCACCCAGATCCCTCAATAGAAAGTGGCCTAACCGGAGCGTGGAATCTACAGGTCTCTTTTGGGTTTTATTCATGCCGAAGCTGTGAGGAATATCGAGTGAATGACTGTGAGTGTGTGAGTTATTTTATTTTCTCACCACTAAATTACTACTACTGGAATAATGTGGGAGTAGTTTACAAAAATATAAATTATGACTCTTAGCCAACATGCCATTGATAATGATAATATTTAATTAATGTTCTCTTCAGACACTGGGAAATAACCAACCGTTGCCTTTTGTGTAACCTATTCGACTTTAAAACTTTACGCAAAATCGATAGACCAGCGAGATTTTTTTCACTCTTTGTGAAATCTCTACAGAGAATGTGTTATAATTATCGAGGACTGATCTCCTGGATAGCGGTGCGCTGTCCATTGTCCTGAAATTACGCTCCTCAAATAGCCTAATCAAACTAGGGTAATCCGCCACCACGCCATAGAAATAATGTAGATTAAATATGAGATTATTCGAGGCTGAAAGTGTGTTTTCTTTCTTTGATTGTGAACAGGGAGAGAGTGCCCAAGACAGCTATCCCAGAGAACACCGAATATGAGAACTCGAACCAGGGTTATATTGTATTCCCTATTACTTTTGGTTTTAGTAGGTAAGTGTTTGCACTTATATTATGTACTTGTCTCGAATGGTTGAAAATCACACCTAACTTAGACTTGTGATGCGACGGTTATTGACATAAATTGGCATATCACGATCAAACAAGTTGAAATCCCAACACTTAGCTAGGCCTTTATGTTCCGTTATCATTTCCGTTACTTTTTTGGTGGGGATTCAACTGACCACTTTGAGAGGTCTGACTAAGGCTAGTATGGCATGATTTGACAGGGTCAAGTGACATAGAAAGCCTATAGTATCATTCACTTGGCTTTTGCATAAAATAAAATGAAGGTATAAGTATAATATTATCATTACATGTAGAAGCCTACAGACAGGACATTATTTGGGTATTCACTCTCTAAAGTAAAATAAAATAGAATTTGGTAACACTTCTATATAAAATATTTTAAATACACTACATGACCAAAAGTATGTGGACATCTCATTCCAAAATCATGGGTATTAATATGGAGTTGGTCCCTCCTTTGCTGTGATAACAGCCTCCACTCTTCTGGGAAGGCTTTCCACTAGATGTTGGAACATTGCTGCGGGGACTTGCTTCCATTCAGCCACAAGAGCATTAGTGAGGTCGGGAACTGATGTTGGGCGATTAGGCCTGACTCGCAGTCGGCGTTCCAATTCATCCCATAGGTGTTTGATGGGGTTGAGGTCAGGGCTCTGTGCAGGCCAGTCAAGTTCTTCCACACCGATCTCGACAAACCATTTCTGTATGGACTTCGCTTTGTGCACGGGGGCATTGTCATGCTGAAACAGGAAAGGGCCTTCCTCAAACTACACAGAATCGTCTAGAATGTCAATGTATGCTGTAGGTTTAAGATTTCCCTTCACTGGAACTAAGGGTTAAGCCCGAACCATGAAAAACAGCCCCAGACCATTATTCCTCCTCCACAGTTGGCACTATGCATTGGGCAGGTAGCGTTCTCCTGGCATCTGCCAAACCCAGAAACCCATTTCATGATGCTCCTGACGAACAGTTCTTATGGTGACATTGCTTCCATAGGCAGTTTGGAACTCGGTAGTGAGTGTTGCAACTGAGAACAGACAAGCTGAAATAGCAGAATCCACTAATTTGAAGGGGTGTCCACATACTTTTGTATATGTGGTGTATTATTGCAACATTTAAAAACATGAACAAACTAATAGAGGTACTTAAATAGAGAGCAGACAGTAGATCCTCTTCTCACTTGTCAGTGAGTTAAAGCCTCAGATGAGCCCTGTCTGTGCTGCCCTTCAGAAATAAGAAATAAATGAATTCATACATAACATTAGGCTACTGACACATATCATTTAGAGTGGGTTTCTACTTGGTCCTCTTTCCCAGTACGTTTCTGTGTCACTTTCACTACTGTGACTGTCCCGGTTTCCATGTGGCTGCATGTATGACCCTTCAGAATGAGCTGGAGATGTGATCGATGTTGACAGACAGCCTGGGGCTCTGGGTTACATAATACTAACCCTGCGTTTCATCAGCCAGTCACACAAAGACTCCATGCAGAAAGCCACACATTTTCATCCCTCAGTCACTATAGCAGCCTGGCTGGGTTTGACAGGGTTTGGTCGCATCCCAAATGGCACCCAATTCCCTATATAGTGCACTACTTTGACCATATAGTGCACTACTTTTGACCTGGGCCCTGGTCTAAAGTAGTGCACTATATATGGAATACGGTGCTGTTTGAGATTCAGCTGTTATGTAGTGGGGTGGATGATGTTACGCTCACTGCATGTGTCCACAGTTGTCAGTCTAGTGTGAAATGTATTTTGTTCAAGGGTGTGAGGGTGTATTATTTGGTGAGTGAGTTGTGATTTGAGAACAGTGGTGTTTATGGCACTGCATTATGCCAGTCTGACTCCAAGCCTGGTGCAAAATTAGGTCACAGGGTTATCAGATAGAACGCTCTGACAACAGACCAGGGGGGGATGGGTGGAGGGTGTGATTTAATTGAATAGAATAATACATTTATGTTTTTGCAGTCTTTTATTCCCGCCAGCTCTCACACGCAGGTTGACGTTTAATGTCATGAGTCTTGTCCTGGAGGCAGAACTGAACGATTTTCCCTTAGGCCAGCTGCAAAGTCAAAATTGTCTATATTGTAAAACTTCATGAAAACAATCATTTGCTTTTCGGTATTCATTTAAGGTTAGGGTTATGTATTAGGTTTAGCAGTGTGGTTAAGGTCAGGGTTAAGGTTAGGGTTGGGTTTTAAAACATTTGATTGTATGACTTTGTGGCTGTGCCAGCTAGTGACCACTCTGCAGAGCTGCTTCCAGAACAATATTCATGACAAAAAACGCTAACCTGCCTCTCTCACACAAAAACACACACACACACACACACACACACACACACAATTACAGTTGAAGTCGGAAGTTTACATACACTTAGGTCATTAAAGAGTAATTAAAACTCGTTTTTCAACCACTCCACAAGTTTCTTGTTAACAAACTATAGTTTTGGCAAGTCAGTTAGGACATCTACTTTGTACATGACACAAGTAATTTTTCCAACAATTGTTTACAGACAGATTATTTCACTTATAATTCACTGTATCACAATTCCAGTGGGTCAGACGTTTACATACACTAAGTTTACTGTGCCTTTAAACAGCTTGGAAAATTCCTGAAAATTATGTCATGCTTTAGAAGCTTCTGATAGGCTAATTGACATAATTTGAGTCAATTAGAGGTGTACCTGTGGATGTATTTCAAGGCCTACCTTCAAACTCAGTGCCTCTTTGCTTGACATCATGGGAAAATCAAAAGAAATCAGCCAAGACCTCATAAAAAAAATTGTAGACCTCCACAAGTCTGGTTCATCCTTGGGAGCAATTTCCAAATGCCTGAAGGTACCACATTCATCTGTACAAACAATAGTACGCAAGTATAAACACCATGGGACCACGCAACCGTAATACCGCTCAGGAAGGAGACGCGTTCTGTCTCCTAGAGATGAACGTACTTTGGTGTGAAAAGTGCAAATCAATCCCAGAACAACAGCAAAGGACCTTATGAAGATCCTGGAGGAAACAGGTACAAAAGTATCTATATCCACAGTAAAACGAGTCCTATATCGACATAACCTGAAAGGCCGCTCAGCAAGGAAGAAGCCACTGCTCCAAAACCGCCATAAAAAAGCCAGACAACGGTTTGCAACTGCACATAGGGACAAAGATCGTCATTTTTGGAGAAATGTCCTCTGGTCTGATGAAACAAAAATATAACTGTTTGGCCATAATGACCATTGTTATGTTTGGAGGAAAAAGGGGGTAGCTTGCATGCCGAAGAACTCCATCCCAACCGTGAAGCACGGGGGTGGCAGCATCATGCTGTGGGGGTGCTTTGCTGCAGGTGGGACTGGTGCACTTCACAGAATAGATGGCATCATGAGGAACGAAAATTATGTGGATATATTGAAGCAACATCTCAAGACATCAGTCAGGAAGTTAAAGCTTGGTCGCAAATGGGTCTTCCAAATGGACAATGTGCACTACTTCCAAAGTTGTGGCAAAATGGCTTAAGGACAACAAAGTCAAGGTATTGGAGTGGCCATCACAAAGCCCTGACCTCAATCCTATAGCAAATTTGTGGGCAAGAACTGAAAAGGCGTGTGCAATCAAGGAGGCCTACAAACCTGACTCAGTTACACCAGCTCTGTCAGGAGGAATGGGCCAAAATTCACCCAACTTATTGTGGGAAGCTTGTGGAAGGCTACCCGAAACGTTTGACCCAAGTTAAACAATTTAAAAGCAATGCTACCAAATACTAATTGAGTATATGTAAACTTCTGACCCACTGGGAATGTGATGAAATAAATAAAAGCTGAAATAAATCATTCTCTTTACTATTATTCTGACATTTCACATTCTTAAAATAAAGTGGTGATCCTAACTGACCTAAAACAGGGAATTTTTGCTAGGATTAAATGTCAGGAATTGTGAAAAACAGAGTTTGAATGTATTTGGCTAAGATGTATGTAAACTTCCGACTTCAACTGTATGTTTCTCTGGGTGATGTGTACTGTACATGCTACAGTGTGGTGCTGGTGTGATGCCGCTCTGTTTGTTACGATCTCCAGTGCAGGTGAGCAGGCCAGTATGTGTAGATGTGCCCTCGGAAACAGAGGCGGTCGTTGGGAACCCCATGAAACTGACCTGCATCTCCTGTATGAAGAGAGAGGAGGTCAGCGCAGAGACACGCGTGGACTGGTACTACATCCCACCTGACGAAGAACCCATCCCTGTAGGTCTCCTCCATCTAACATCCATTCGCACAAACAATATCATTACAATTATTTCACCTGATGAGAGGACCAGCCATTTTTCCTGACCATGTGACCTGACCAGGAATTATTGCCTATAACTAGGGCATGGAGGTTTTTCCTGGTCAGGCTGAATGGTCTACAAGTACTTTGAACTATGAGGGAAAAATCTGGTGAAGTTAGCTAACAACGATTACAGTGTGTGTGTGTGTGTGTGTGTGTGTGTGTGTGTGTGTGTGTGTGTGTGTGTGTGTGTGTGTGTGTGTGTGTGTGTGTGTGTGTGGTGTGCGTGTGTGTGTGCCTGCTACATTGCCCCCTCAGATCTACCTGTTTGATGGGCACCCCAGGGAGCTGGATGGGCCTTGGCAGGGTCGCTTGGTGTGGAATGGAAGTAGAGACCTGCAGGAACTCTCCATCAGTATCCTCAACGTCACAATGAACGACACGGGCACCTACAAGTGTGTGGTGTTCCGGCAGTTTGAGTTTGAGTCCTACTCCCCCTCGGTTATCAAAACCCTGGTAATCAACCTGGTGGTCAGACAGGAAGGTGAGAGTACTTCCTGTTCCTTCCTATTTTGTAATTTTACTTCCTGTTCTTTCAAGCTCCTTGCTGGAGGCTTAACTGTCTGTGGTTTGCTGTGTGTGATTTACGTATTTATATGTGCTTTGCCCCTTAAACCCTCTTCTCCTTGGTTGTTGCCATGTGTTTTGACAAAACTTAAAAGTAAAGTGTATTATTTTTCTTAGGTGCTATTAGGTATGTTAATCGTATTTACAATTTGCATTAAAGAAAAGGGTTATTGCATGAGTAATGAGTGTGTTTTTGTTCAGTTTTGATTATTATCAAAGCTCAATTGAAGGCCTCTTATAGTAAGGGAAGGTTTTTTTTAACCAACTACTTTACTATCTATTATAAGGGGTAATGTACATCATTTGGTTTCTATTTACTGTATGCTTACTGGATGTTCACCTTACTCAAATATACTATTTAATATGTATATTTGTATATCATTATTCCTACATTCACTTTACTCTATCTGCCTATCTATTGTGGACTGCTGGGGTTCATATAGATATACTTAGTTGTATCAAAGTTGCTAGTTCATATCTGCATACATCTACATTTGATAATAGTCATTACCAACTATATTTTAGTTTGCCCTTGTATACATTACATGAAACGTACAACTTTTATTTTGCAACTCATACCATAGTAGTGTCCAATTGCAAAAAGCTGCGGGTCAGCAGGCAATTTTTCATTCCCATATAAGAAGGGATTATGATAAGTTTTATCTTTCTGCAGCTATTTGGAAGTTTCACACAGAAAATGCTGTGCCTCAGGCTTCGTGGAGTTTGGCACCAATTCATTGACACAGTGGTTCTCATCAGATCCAACTCTCACGTGTAGGGAGGAAGACAACCTTATTTAAATATAAGGAAAATCTTTCCGCTTATAAACGGTAAAAAAAAAAAAACGTATCAATCTAATCTGCTCTATTCATTTGATAATATTGTACCAATATCTTGTAGTATAGTGGCACAGCAGTGATACAGCCCGAGTGGCGCAGCGGTCTAAGGCACTGCATCTCAGTGCTAGAGGCGTCACTACAGACCCTGGTTCGATTCCAGGCTGTATCACAACCGGACGTGATTGGGAGTCCCATAGGGCGGCGCACAATTGGCCCAGCGTCGTCCGGGTTTGGCCGGTGTAGGCCGTCATTGTAAATAAGAATTTGTTCTTAACAAACTTGCCTAGTTAAATAAAGGTTAAAAATAAAGAGTGGACTTCCTTATTTGCCAGTATTATTTTTTAAACGAGAAAAACCCAAAATTAACATTGAGAACCGCTATTATCATACATGTTTCTGCTGATTTCTTTCTCTATGTATTATAGCAAGAAGTTTTGCTATAGCATGGTTTAACCTTTTATGTTACAAATATGAAGCCTAAACGCTCCAGTTTAAGGCTGGTAGTACTTGTGCAAGAGGGATGACAATGGGTCAATTAAATGCATAGTTAAATTAAGACCTTGTGTGTATACGAAAACGAGGGGAAGAGATGATCGTTGTTTAATACACTGTTGGGTTTGCAGTGTTGCAAGACAGTATGACTATTTTTTAAACTGAGGGAACTTGACCTATCAATATGTGCTACATACAATATCTAACGTGTTTTGCATAGAGCTACGCTAACTATCTCATCAGCTGGCAATAAATTGCCTGGTCAAGAGTGGTAGAGAATGTATTATGCATGCAGGAAAACACTAAAGCATCATGAGAGGACTTTTTGGTTATTCCCAATAAGGTTACGTGAAACACTATCCTGTATACTTTACACATGTGATTATACTAGCAATAATTGGATCTTACCATCTTTATCATTGGACCATTATCCAATCAAATTTGTATTCTCAATATGTTCCAAAAAAAACTCTCATATGTACAGACTAAGCATGCTTAACTGCCTCCTATACAGAATGAGATTGACTTCACCTGGCTAACAGAACAAGCTGTAATGCCCACATTTGGACTGTTTTGTAGTTTTGATTGTGAGTGAATGGATACATCAGAAATAGATTGCTACATACTGTTTTAATTAGAATTGTCACTTTACTGCTAGTGGCGACAGGACAGTTATTTATTCTGGCTGATATGCTGGGTCTCAAAACACATTGAGAATCTGTTTACCGTCCCATATAAGAAAATAGGCCTACACAGTTATCTAACTAACAAATAGTCATCCTTACTACTCTATGCCTTAATTCACAAAAACTTGTAGAACAGTCTGTGCAGGATTTACAGTAAGTCCCTATCAAACCAATGCAGTTTATAACATTGTCTATTTCAGTTGTCTTGCAGTGTTCTATCCAAGCAGATGCGGTGTGGGTTGTGTCATAGAGATGGAAAGAGGGCACACCTATCTTTGCCATTCATCACTTCTGTGACAGCATGGGCAGAACCATTGAGGGCTATATCAATTTCAAAGTAGTCAGTGTCTTCTTCTTCTACTTCTGTGAGTTTTATGGCGGTTTGTAATCAAACTAAAAAGGTGTATACCTCCACCTACTGTGTTAGTGTGTATAGTCTGAACAGGCATAAAGCAAAAGTTAATGATTTAACTGCCACCTGTGGTGCTTGAATCTTTACTCAGGAGTATTTGGCTGATCCCTTCTGCTGACTTGGAAGGAATTCTATGATCCTTCCTTAACCCATAGGTAGTCTCACCCAGTTGATTACTTTAAAATGGTGAAAACCTTTAATGGCGCTGCCAATGCTAAAACCGACTTTGTATCAAGTGTACCCTATATCCATCTCTATGGGTTGTGTGTGTCTGTCTGGCAGCCAGTGACGACACCACTGCCCTGTACTCAGAGATCATGATGTACGTCCTGCTGGTCTTCCTCACCTGCTGGCTCCTGGTGGAGATGGTCTACTGCTACAGGAAGATCTCCAGGTCAGACGAGCAGGCCCAGGACACCGCGTGAGTATCTCTTAGCCATGTGTCTCGTAGGTTTTTATCTCATAGGCTTGTCTTGTACCTCGTAGGCTTGTATCTCTTAGCATTAGATCTCATAGCCTCATATCTTGTAGTCGCGTCTTGTATCTCGTAGCCTTGTATATCATAGCCTGTATGTACTAAGGGCAACTCTGGTCTTCTTTTGTTGCTTTGCACCATGTATCTAGATGTATGGTGCAGGGCAATGATAGACGACTAGAGTTGGCTTCAGCACGTACAGTATGGATACGATGCTAAGTATCTCATACTGCATGTGGAGTTTGGGCCTTACCCACAGTAGGCATTACTGACAATGTGGCGTAACATTACCCCTGCTGATTTTATGACCCCTTCAATAAATTGGGGTTAGTGAATAGTTTACATTTACTGTTAGGCCATGCAGTATCCAATGTATAGGTTGTGCGATCTGCGAAAGAGTGTAATGGAGGTGTAATGGTCTGAGGGATTTTGCGGTCAGTAGTCGGTTAGCTGTTTCAGTAAGTCGTCTTTCTGCTGAGGTCCCTGGATTGTTTGGAGCGCTCTGCTGACTCCTGTTCCACCATTTTCAAACAACCAATTTAGTGCTCTGTGGCCAAGGCTTAAATATATTCATGTGGTGTCAGCTCCCAATGATTGGTGATGGTGCTGGGCGGTAGATGGAAGTCGGTACAGTGGATTGTGGCCATCACATTTCGACCTTACAATACGATATTGGGTAATATACAGTGCATGTTTGAATCCAATTACACTATTTCCTGTACCTTACACTGAAAGTACCAATAGTGCAGGATAGATGTACACAGAACCTACTTGGGAAATTGAGAGAATGCCTGAAGGAATCAATTGAGAAATAGGTTAAAATAATGCACTTCTGAACAGATGAAGAGAGTATACACTGCTACATTATATGGGTTGTGACAGTTGTTCCACAAATGCTTTTTAAATAGACAACACTTTGCACTTTGCACTCAGTCTAGAGACAACACCTAATGACCCAATGCCCAGGAATACCACATTAAGTTTAACCACCAGTGGTGTGTTGCGAGGAGTGACCTCCATCCGTTCTAGTGCTGACAGGACTTAGGGCTCATAGGGCTCTGGTCAAAAGTAGTACACTATATAGGGAATAGGGTGCCATTTGGGACACAGCCATGGTATTGAGCTGTTTGAGCAGATAAACTACATTAGAGGCACACCGATGGCAGGCAGCCAGCCATAATATGTGACTGGCTGTTGAACAGTACAGGATAATGCAGCCATTTTAAAGGATCTGTAGCATACATTAGTGATCCTAAATCACATCAATCATGGACTGTTGGCTAGGAGACAGGATGATCTCCACCAGTTGCACCTGTGATTAATCGATTTCCTACTGTTTTACCACTTTCATTTGACATGGTCCTCTTATTTGGATACTTTTTTCTTATAGAATAATGGCTAGGAAATAGGCTAACTCATGGGTTGTGGGAATCCTATTAGCAAAGTTGAACGAAATCGGCGTCATAGTTTCTAAGTCAGTATCCAGGCTTATGGTCGATATTGCTTTTGGCATATTGTCATGAATGAACTGGAACATTCCCAATGATAACATATCCCAATTGTCTCAATTGTTTTGCATTGTTTTGCAATTGTCTCAATTGTTTTGCATTGACGGAGTTCAATAAGAAAGGCCCAATGAAATGCACACAGTATGGTTCATGGATGCACTACAGGGTCTCAGATTTACCTCTCTTTCTACCCATCTACAGGACAAACTACCTAGCCATTCCCTCAGAAAATAAAGAGAACCTGGGTGTTCCAGTTACAGAATAAAAGTGATTGTCTCACACCAATACGGTATTTTGAATGTGCCTCTCAATCTGATCTCGATCAGAAAATCACTCTCCCCTTCAACTCATTGTCTGTAACTAACCAAGTCTCTTTCTGTTGCACCCGCATCCGCCATTTTCTTCCACAAGACATTACTCACTCACATCATAGTAAAAACGTTCCCTTCCTCAAACCACTCATCTCTCTGCTTTATCTTCATTTACCATCAGCTCTTTCTCACTCTTAGTACTAGTACCAATATTAAAAGTCTACCTAATTGTGAAAATAATGAGTGAAAACAATAGTTTTATATAAGAAATCCTCTCTCCACATGGGATTCCGTGGTACTTGATTTAAGTGTCGTTTTCAAAGGGAGAGTGGCTCGATCGCAACAGTGAAAGAAATGAGGCCTTTGAACACTCTGAACATACCCCCTGCTGAGTTCTCAGAACAGTGAACGAAGACATGTTTTCTTAGTATTGCTAAGGGGCTGTGTGAGGCACAGTACATGTACACTTTCAGTTTTTTAAATGGAAGAAAGTTTCTCGCAAGTTATTGTTTTACATTTCTGAATCTGCATTAGAATATGTGTTATTGTTGTACCTAATCGGTATAGCTAGAGACTTGTGCATTTTTCAACACATCAAGCAGCTTAGTCTGTCCTCTGTTTCAGGTACTGACCAATGGTGTATCAAGCAGTTCATGGTCACCTGACGATACAGACTGAACTCCTTGAAGGGAACATTCAGTGAAGATGTCACAACGCCTATCAGCAACTTTGTCTTGGTCTTGTGGTGTGAGCTAGCCAAATCCTCGAATGCTCAAGTATACTCTCCTTTCTTATTTCACTCTGTACCACTCTGTGCCAGACAGCAGTGATTTGATGATTAATAAGTTGTTTATGCCATTTGAATGTCACCCACAGAAAAGAAAACTGAACCTACTGTTGCAGAGGACCAAGGAATTACTTCAAAGTAAATTACTCATACTTTTAAATGCGTGAAATGTTATTCAAATGTTAATAATTATGCTGTATTGCACATAATTGGGTGCCCATAAAAATGTCTGGTACATTATTTTCAATTCATTTTTACTCTACTGATAGAATATGACGAGATTACGGCTCAAGGTTTTGAGGTGCCTCGTCATTATCTTTTTACAGAAATTGGATTGCATAGCCTTTCAAGTTTACTTCACTTAAGTTGTTTAGTGAAAGAAAATGTTTCATGCACAGTATGACTGTGGTTTATGGTATGAACACGGAGTCCTCTCGCTGGTTCTTAGTGTGACTCAAAGGCCAACTATGTCAGAAGCTCCTCTTTAAGTTCAATTCTCTTCCACAGAAAGAGCCTGGTATGAGAAGATCTGGTGTATTTGGATCTTAGAGAGTGACTAGGCTATTTTACAAAAGAAGAAGGAAAAAGATGGCACATACATAGTCACAGTAATTGGTCAATATGGCTTTTTTACTCAGCGTTTTGTAAGCTATAATGTTTATTCAATGGCATCTTAAGACATTCAAAACAATGATGCTGCAGAATACAACTACTGTACGCCCCAATAGCCAAAAACTTGATCATGCTATACTATGCTAAACCATATGCTGGCTTTTGAGGTTGTTGTTTTTTCATCTACAGTAGCATTGCTATTGAGACTCAAATATGTGCCTACTTCTATAGTTACAATTAATGTATATACTGTATTGTGTACAATCATACTATATACAGTGGGGGAAAAAAGTATTTAGTCAGCCACCAATTGTGCAAGTTCTCCCACTTAAAAAGATGAGAGAGGCCTGTAATTTGCATCATAGGTACACGTCAACTATGACAGACAAAATAAGAAAATCACATTGTAGGATTTTTAATGAATTTATTTGCAAATTATGGTGGAAAATAAATATTTGGTCAATAACAAAAGTTTCTCAATACTTTGTTATATACCCTTTGTTGGCAATGACACAGGTCAAACGTTTTCTGTAAGTCTTCACAAGGTTTTCACACACTGTTGCTGGTATTTTGGCCCATTCCTCCATGCAGATCTCCTCTAGAGCAGTGATGTTTTGGGGCTGTTGCTGGGCAACAGGGACTTTCAACTCCCTCCAAAGATTTTCTATGGGGTTGAGATCTGGAGACTGGCTAGGCCACTCCAGGACCTTGACATGCTTCTTACGAAGCCACTCCTTCGTTGCCCGGGCGGTGTGTTTGGGATCATTGTCATGCTGAAAGACCCAGCCACGTTTCATCTTCAATGCCCTTGCTGATGGAAGGAGGTTTTCACTCAAAATCTCACGATACATGGCCCCATTCATTCTTTCATTTACACGGATCAGTCGTCCTGGTCCCTTTGCAGAAAAACAGCCCCAAAGCATGATGTTTCCACCCCCATGCTTCACAGTAGGTATGGTGTTCTTTGGATGCAACTCAGCATTCTTTGTCCTCCAAACACGACGAGTTGAGTTTTTACCAAAAAGTTATATTTTGGTTTATCTGACCATATGACATTCTCCCAATCCTCTTCTGGATCATCCAAATGCACTCTAGCAAACTTCAGACGGGCCTGGACATGTACTGGCTTAAGCAGGGGGACACATCTGACACTGCAGGATTTGAGTCCCTGGCGGCGTAGTGTGTTACTGATGGTAGGCTTTGTTACTTTGGTCCCAGCTCTCTGCAGGTCATTCACTAGGTCCCCCCGTGTGGTTCTGGGATTTTTGCTCACCGTTCTTGTGATCATTTTGACCCCACGGGGTGAGATCTTGCGTGGAGCCCCAGATCGAGGGAGATTATCAGTGGTCTTGTATGTCTTCCATTTCCTAATAATTGCTCCCACAGTTGATTTCTTCAAACCAAGCTGCTTACCTATTGCAGATTCAGTCTTCCCAGCCTGGTGCAGGTCTACAATTTTGTTTCTGGTGTCCTTTGACAGCTCTTTGGTCTTGGCCATAGTGGAGTTTGGAGTGTGACTGTTTGAGGTTGTGGACAGGTGTCTTTTATACTGATAACAAGTTCAAACAGGTGCCATTAATACAGGGAACGAGTGGAGGACAGAGGAGCCTCTTAAAGAAGAAGTTACAGGTCTGTGAGAGCCAGAAATCTTGCTTGTTTGTAGGTGACCAAATACTTATTTTCCACCATAATTTGCAAATAAATTCATTAAAAATCCTACAATGTGATTTTC